CAACAATTTGAGTGCAACAAAAATATAATGATTTAAAATTGATCAAATTATTTAAATATCTTTATAAATTTATAATTGAATAATTATTTTGGAAATTAAAAATTTACTAAATTATTTAAAGATCTTCATAAATTTATAATTAAATAAAAATTTTGGAATAACTCTATTTATGGCATGGCTATCGCTTCGAAGAATATTCCATTGAAATATTGAACTTTAAACTGAAAATAAGCCAACAAAATTACTTGGAAATGCATTCAGCTCTTCGATATATGTTTTAATTGGATACTTACCTTCATACTTACCTTCATACTTACCTTCATACTTACCTTCATACTTACCCACCTACTTTCTTCGGTATATAAAATTTCGCATGAATACATTGAATGCATCATTTTTAAGCTGAAATTTCGTATTTTAGTTGTCTAACTTCTTAATTGAGTTTGAAACTTGTGGCTTAGTTCCAGTTCTTTTTCGGAAGATTTAATATCCATTGGGAAATTGTTTTCGATTGATTTATACGCCGATTTCATGTACAATTCCATCCACAATTTCGATTTTTCCAATTCTTTTCTTGGCTAACCTTTGAGCTTAACCCATGCCAACGAATGCTAAACAAATGCTAATCCTAATGCCAATCCCATTTGTATTCTTATTCCATTTCCAAAATTGTATTCAGGTGCATGGAAAAGAGTATTCCACATTTGGTTGCAACTTTGTGTGGACGGATACTGTGTTTTGTTGCCTCAGATATTTGGTGTGTGCCCCCCATTCAGTTATATTTCTCTCCCTCCCTTCTCACTGCCTTTTCTTTGCTGTGCCTTTTAAAGCGCCGAAATTGTGTAAAGCGTCTGTTATGGCCTTTGGGGCTCTGATTCATTTTTTGAGGTTGGTGCTGTGAGGACAAACGAGATGGGGACTGGTGCTGTGGCTTGGGGGGGTTGGGGTTGAATTTTTCTTTTTGTGTGTGTGTATTTATGGCGTCTTTCGCCCTCAATTTCATTTGCAATTGAATTTGGGATTATTTTTCATTTTTGCTTGCGCATCTTACTCGTACTCCCCCGCTCCCCCCACACCCACACAGCTCCACACATACACAGCAAAGGCCACAAGTGGCCTGAATGGGTCTGGGTCCGTAATTGGGAGCGCATGAGGCAGGGAGACAGGGATCGTACCAGAGACAGAAAGAGTGAGAGAAAAGCTAGAAGTCGAAGAAAACGAGGGAGAAAAATCTACAGCTACACAACTACAGCTATGAAAAGCCGGCATGCATGTCTGAGCGTCGTTTGTCTCTGACTCAAAACTGAAACTGAACTCAGAGTTCGGGCTCTGGTCCTGGTCCTGGTCTTGGTTTTTTTTTTTTTTGGGTTCTGTATATTCTGTTCTGGTCTGGGTGCCTCCTTCGGTGGATGGAACGAGCAGCGACAGCGACAAAACCTAAGCTGCCCTGAGCCTGGCCTGGCCCGGTCTGGCCTGGCAACGGAAGTTGTAAAATTCATAAGTCGAGCGAACGCGCGTGGCTTTTGTGCAATTGGAGCCACAAGAAGGAGACAGCGGGACAGCGGGTGGGACGGGGGTAAAGTGAATATAAAAAACACACAAAAAATACAGAGAATCGTAGAAGAAATAGCAGAAGAAAATCTTGAACTGAACTCCAGTAAAGATAACACCAAAGTGCACTTTAATCTTTGTGTGGAAATCTCAACGAAGCGCTGGGCCGGGCTGGGCTGGGCTGAGCTGGGCTGGGCGATGCAGTCAAAGCTAAAGCGAAATATGATTGAAGTGTCGTCACGCAGGGGGCAGGGGGCAGGGTTGTTGGGATGTGTATGTGGATGGGCGAAAGGAATGTGTGACAGCAAATGAAGCCAGTGTCGTCGAGCAGGAGACTGTCAGCGAAGCACAAGGGGAAGTGGATGAGGATGAGGATGTGGATGTGAAAGTTGAAGTGGATGTGGATGTGGAAAGGGGAGAGAGCACAAAGCAAAAAGCAGCCGTTGAGTGGCATGGTTTGTAGCTGGAGAAATTGGAAAAATGGAATGTGTAAAGGAGAGAGAGAGAGAGACGCGCGCGCTCCATGGCGATGGCGATGGCGATGGCAATGGCGACTCAACAGCTGTTGATTGAAATAGGTATGGGGATGGAGATGGCGATGGAGATGGCGATGGAGATGGAGTGTGCACGGAGGGAGATAACTTCAAATACAGAAATGTCCAGGGAGCAGAGGGAAGGGCAGCAGCAGCAGCAGCAGCAGCAGAGTGTCTGTCAAAGGAGGCGAGCGAAGCATAAAGACCAAAAATCAGACAACATCTTGGGGTAGGCAACATCAGATAACGATTGAATGCAAACCCCTACCCTCTCTCACACACACCCAGACACACACACACACTGAAGCTGAAGAGGGTACAACAACAATAAAGCAGCTGCCACCAAAAGGAGAAAGGAAACAAAACAACAACAAAAACAACAACAAAAACGAAAAGAAAAGCAAGTAAAAGTAAAGCAAAAGGCGATGCAACAAAATGAAATAAAAACGGGTCATTGGAGTAAGAAGCGGGGCATGCAACAAAAATGAAGTAGAAAGAAATGAAGAGCGAATGGCAGAGTGGGAGAGTGGCAGAGTGCGAGTGCGAGGGGCAGGCGTACTCTCAAGGGGTTGCCTTTGAAATGCAAATTGCAAGCCACAGTGGGCTGGGCTGGGGCTGCGGTGCGGTGGGGATTTTGGATGGGTGGGTGGCCTCACTGAACATTTACGGAAGCTGTGCCACGTTGCGGCATTCTTGGCTTCTCGAGTGTTATGTATTTAGTGGCTCCGGCTCCAGCTCCAGCTGCAGCTTTGACTACGACTCTCGACTCGACTCCTTCAGGAGCCTCTGCACCTGCACCTGCACCTGCAACGCCGGGCAGGCAGGCAGCTCTACGGAATTTGGCATAGGTCGTGTGTGTTGCAACATTTTTGCTTTGGCTTTTTGCTTTGCCGCTGAAGTATGGCAACGCCGCCCAAATGCTTGTAATAAAGACAAACAGTTTGGAAATGGTCGCAAAATAAAAAGCGACCGCGCAACGGCGCATAAGAAAATGCATAATGGCAACAGTAGCACCCACTCCCACTTCCACTCCCACTCCCGCTTGAATTTTCCCAACTTTTCGTCGCCTGCTGCCGTCTGCCGCCTGCCCCCCTGGCCCGCTCACTTGGGCACACAATAGTGGCATCAGCCAAATAAAAATTTATGGCTCCAATGAAAGCTGCAACGTGGCCACTGGGAGCCACTGACTGGACTGACTGTTCTTTGGTCGCTCTGTTCGGTCTCTTGTCGCGGTCCTGGCTCTTCCCCGTTTCGTGTGGTCTGGCGCCAGGAAGAATATCCTTAGCGTGCCAGAGCCAAGCAAGCAAGAATAGCAGAGAAGGAAACCCTGTTGCCTTGTTATGACTCTTAACGATTCGGTTCTGGCTCACTGACTCCCAGGCACCCAAGCTGCCAAGCTCTCGGGCTCCCTGGCTCCCCTGTCTGAGTCTGAGTGGGTGTTTCTGGGAGGAGGTGTTTAAGTAGCAGCCAAATGAGTAGCATGAATAATGTTTAATGAAAAGTGCACAGCATTTTCAATGGTCTGCTCCTCCGCCTCCCAGCATTAAAATTACTCAGCGTAAACCAAATGGTAAAAAGTCCCACAAGAAGACAGGAACAACAGGAATAATGATTAAATTTTTATTCAAGATTCTTCAATAATAATAGCTATAAAGATAATAATTATATTGGTGGTAAAATGTTAATGAGAAATGCAGTTTATACCCGAAAGTAAAGTAAATTAAAGCGGGATAATTGGTACGCAGACCTTACTCGAATTTACACTTAAATTAATGCTTAAATTAAACCATATCTGCAGAGCATGCCCCCAAAAACTGTGCTTCAGTTTCCAAAATCTATTTGCTGCCCGCATGAATCTATTAAGCCAAAAGGAAATGCTGCCACTTCAACCCTGGCAAGGCAAATGGTTTCCAAAATTCGCACACATACATATGTATATCGTGTCACTTTTAATTCGTTTTCTCGCTTTGGTTGAAAATTCGTTTCACTGCCCCAGAATCGGTGGCACTGTGGCACTCTCGTCGTAACTCAGAATATTATGCTGGAAATGAATGTAAATTGTCGCGACCATAAAACTCTCTCTCTCTCTCTCCTGCTCTTGCTCTTGCTCTGAGCTTTTAAAAATGTGCACCACTCTGTGGTGCAGCTACCCTTCGCCCACTCCCCCGTTTTCCGCAACCAGTTCCAATCCCTGTCCTCGCCCTGTCCTGCCATGGACTATTGCGGTGTAGGGGATAAAACGCGAGGGAATCGCGTGCAAAACGCGTTGTCCAACGCGATTGTGGACCAACTGCAGCGGGAATACAAGTAAGAGATGTGGCAGCAGGCAGTGGCAGTGGCAGCAGGCGACCAACGCGTTGGCGACTCTGCTTAAACAATAAAACAATAAATTTTCATTACCGGCACGGGGCTATTAACAGTTTCCGCTGGCCAAGACAATGCCGTTCGGGGAGGGCAGGACAGTTGTGGGAAGTATCCAGCAAAGCAGTAAATACATTTGTTGATACACATTTAAAGTGCAGCAGCAGCACAGAGTATGCAACACTTTTGCCGAGTTTCCTTTTGACTTTAGCGGTTTTTCTTTCTCTCTTTTTTTTTTTTTTTTTTATTCAATTAATTCAAACATTTGACTTTGGCGTTTGCATTAAAATTTCTCACATTTCCAGTGCTGGCTGCCGGACTCCTGGTGTATGTTCGCTTTAATTGCATTTCTGTGGGTTTTTTTTTTTTCGCTCGTTGCGAGTCATAAATAATTTTTGCCAGTATGGTTGGGCGAGGGCGAGGGGCGTGCATCAGGAAAAATTAACATTCTGCCCTTTTTTGTTTCTAGGCATCCCTTGAAAGGGTTTTCTTACTCCTTTTCATTCGTTTTTCACTTGTTCTCATCCCCATCTTTCTTTTGTTCTACTCGTACAGGTCACGTGGGCGGCTGCGGCATCACGGACGAGGTCTCACAATGGATGGAGAATATACAAAATTCAGCTGTCGAAGAGCTGCCCGAGCCCATGTCAAAGGACTACCAAAAGCTCCACCGGAAGCAGCTGCACAAAAAGTCCGCTCCACAGCATCAGCAGCAGCAGCAACAGCAGCAGCATCCACCGAAGAAATACATGAGCGGCGAGGACGATTTCAAATTCCCCCATCAGAAATACTCGAAGGAGGCCAACTTTGCTGACGGTGCATTCTACGATCCGTCCACTGGACGTCGCCTGGGCTCGTCCGCCAATGTGGCCGATTGGCATGAGTTCGTCCATGAGCGGGTGCGTCGGGCCAGCGATGGCGGTGCCGGCTCTTCCGGCGGCTCGGGACCGGCAAGAGGTCGCGAGGACAACAAGAATACCTGTTCGCTCTACATACAAACGGATCCATTGATTTGGCGCCACATACGCGAGGGAATTGCCGACGTAAGTCCCTTAAATTATTTATATACCATATACATACATGTACATATATCGGAGATGCGAGGCGACGACTGACAAAGCGCGAAACGAACTCGTGCGCCAAATGAAAAATAAGGGAATGTAATTTAACAAAATCCATGAATTTTGCAATTTTTTACGAGCCTCCCCCGAAAAGTGAAGTGCACATAAAACAGAACAGAAAACGGCCCTTGGGTAAATGGGGTGGACCCGCCCACCCGCCAGACAGCGTAGTTGCTGTGCTGTTTCTTTTTTTTTTTTCGTTAAATATTTTCCCATTTTGCTGGATATGAATAAACAGAAATTGACGGATGCCCTGCTTCTTCTCCACTCCAAGATGCAAGCAGGTTGAAGGTTTTTCTTGTTTTTGTTTTGTTTTTACTCTCGGTTCAGTGGCTCGTAGAAATTTGGAATGTACCTTAACCCACGCACGCAGCATGATGAAAAATCAATAAATGGGGGGGGGGGGAGAGGTTTGTTGCGCCTAAATTCCCAGAAATAATTATAATTATGTACTCTCAAAATGGGAGCTGGCAAAGGTTTCTTTGGATATGGATCTACAAATATTTTGCATTATTAAGTATTAATTTATATTAATATAAAATATCATTTCAATTAGTGTATAAACTGACTATAGAAACATAGAAAGCCAAAAGCCATTAATTAATGGAATTCTTTGTTCATTTATTGTTGATTAGTATTTTGTTATAAGAGTATTACTTAAATGGCAGTTTATTCAAATGGAAATCTGTGTGTGCTTAAATTCCTATGGAATGTTATGATGCATATAATTTTCTCTGAAGCATCGTAATTAATTTCTTAGTGCTGAAATTCTTTACATAAATGCAGATTTATTTATTCCGATTATTCCGATTATTGGCAGGCCAAAAATATTTTAAAGTGCAATTTTTGTTTCCCCTGCTGCTATGCAAATCTATACGTCAGTTTCTCAGACAATAAATTTGCGGTGGGGGGCGGGGGGCCGGTGCGCATTTCTCACCTATTTACCCGACCAATTTTTACGCTCTATAAAGCCCCCCGTGAACCCTTTGTGTTGCCCCTCCGCAGCGCGCTGCCGTTGAATTCGTTTTGGCTGCGAGGATTTCCATGAGCGTTGCCTACTTTTCTGCGGCATCTGCAGAGCAATCATCCAATCAGCTGCTGACCTGCTTTGGATTATACGATACGAGTATAGCGTATGCAATCAACCGTTATAGCCCGCTATGGCCCGGTCCCTGTCTCCCTCTCTCTCTCTCTCTCTCTGTCTCTTTCTCTGCCACCCATCTTGAGGCAATTCTTTCGCCGCACTTTTATGTTTACGCTCATTTTTTCGCATTGTTCGCGGCGAGGAGGATGTCGACGTCAACATCCTCGTCACCAGAGTTCTGCTTGCCCTCCTATTCGCACTCCCCCCTTAGCCGAGAGCACCTCTTTTCCCATCTCGCTTGCTCTCTGTTTTTGTCTCCTTCGTTCACGTTCTCTTGCGTGTTTTTATTTGCAATGAGTTTTGCATAATTCGCGCATTTGTTTCGCTCTCTTTCTCCATCTCTCTCTCTCTGTCGCTCTCCATCACTCTCTTGCTTTTGTTTTTGCCCCACGGCATTTTGATTTTTGAGCCAGAAATTGCCGTTAGCTGCTGCTGCTCCTGCTGCTGGGTAGAAGTTGCCGCCCCACCATTTTGGTTTCGGTTTTTTAGAGCTGGAGCGTGCATAAAACCTTATAAACTTCAGCAGAATTATTCGACGAGTTTAGCTGAATTTGCATTTTTATACAAATATATTTGAAGAGTGTTTGTTTGGCGAAGGCGAAGGATGGGGATGCGGAGTGCGGAATGCGGGGTGCGGAATGCAGGATGGCTGCGGATTGGATGAGCCACTCGATGAAAGGGGACTGTGGCATGGGGTGGAGTGGAGTGGATTGGAGTTGAGGCCGTTTGTTTGTCTGTCTCCTATACCGCCGCCGGTCGGGGGGGGGGCATGCGGCATGGGTCATGGGGGTTTGGGTATGGTTTTGTTTACACAGATGTCAAGCGCATTTCCGCCATCCATCCATCCATCCATCGCATTGCGGTTTTGAGATTTTTATAACGCTCAACGCTAAAAGTCGCGACTCCGTGCCGTACGTTTTACGTTTTACGTTAATTAAATCTGTCTACCTTTTCTCACACTCCCTCTCTCTCTCTCTCCCTCCCTCTGTCTCTCTTTCTCTCTTTTTGATACTGTCAACAGCATGATCGTGGTCGAAAGTATGAGGTGGACGTGAAAACGCGCGAGGAAATCACATCGCTGATTGCACATCATGTGACGGCCGTTAATTACATTTACCGCAACACAAAGTTCGACGGACGGACCGAGCATCGGAACATACGCTTTGAGGTGAGTCCCCCCCCCCCCCCCACTGTACCCACACAAAGGTAAACGCGTGCACACGCACACGCACAAGGACACTACCGACAGGCAAAGCAGAGGGCAAACAATGAGATAAGAACAAAGCGGGTCCTGTCCTGTCCTGCCTGCCACAAACTACTCCGAACCGCAACCGGACACTGGCCGTGGCCATGGTCGTGCCCCCCAACTGTTTAAATGATGTGCGGACAGCTCTTTACCGGCGTAATGGCATATTAAATCAGAGGAATCAGAGGACTTCGACTAAAGATCACAGCGCTTGCAGCGATGCTTATTACCAAATTTAATTACAATTAATTTAAATTATTCATCAGGTGCAACGCATTAAAATCGACGATGATTCCGCCTGTCGCAACTCGTACAACGGGCCCCACAACGCCTTCTGCAATGAGCACATGGATGTGTCCAATTTCTTGAATCTCCACTCGCTGGAGGATCACTCGGACTTCTGTCTGGCCTATGTCTTCACCTACAGGTGAGTTGAGTGCAAATAAACTGCAGTGCAGAGTTGCCCAACTGATTTACGTGTTTGCTTGCAGAGACTTTACTGGCGGCACTTTGGGTCTGGCGTGGGTGGCCAGCGCATCGGGCGCCTCTGGCGGCATCTGTGAGAAGTACAAGACCTACACGGAGACGGTGGGGGGACAGTACCAGAGCACCAAGCGATCCCTAAACACGGGCATCATCACCTTCGTCAACTACAACAGTCGGGTGCCGCCCAAAGTGTCACAGCTGACATTGGCCCACGAGATTGGGCATAATTTTGGATCACCTGTAAGTGTGTCTGTCTGTGGAGTGTAGCACACAGCTCATTCTATAATAAATTAATATATATCCTCTCTCTCTCTCTCTCTCTCTCTCTGGCACACACAGCACGACTACCCGCAGGAATGCCGTCCGGGCGGTCTGAATGGCAACTTCATTATGTTCGCCAGCGCCACCTCTGGGGATCGGCCCAACAACTCCAAGTTCTCACCCTGCTCCATTCGGAATATATCCAATGTGCTGGATGTGCTGGTGGGCAACACGAAGCGGGACTGCTTCAAGGCCTCGGAGGGCGCCTTCTGCGGCAACAAGATCGTGGAGTCCGGCGAGGAGTGCGACTGCGGCTTCAACGAGGAGGAGTGCAAGGACAACTGCTGCTATCCGCGACTGATCAGCGAGTACGACCAGTCACTGAACTCCAGTGCCAAGGGCTGCACCCGCCGTGCCAAGACGGAGTGCTCGCCGTCGCAGGGCCCCTGCTGTCTGGCCAACTCGTGCACCTTTGTGCCGACGCGCTACCACCAGAAGTGCAAGGAGGAGACCGAGTGCAGCTGGTCGAGCACCTGCAACGGCACCACGGCCGAGTGCCCGGAGCCCCGGCATCGGGATGACAAGACGATGTGCAACAATGGCACCGCACTGTGCATCCGCGGCGAGTGCAGCGGCTCGCCGTGCCTGCTCTGGAACATGACCAAGTGCTTCCTCACCTCGTTCACGCTGCCGCACGCCGACAAGCGAAAGCTGTGCGACCTGGCCTGCCAGGATGGCAACGACACCGCCACCTGTCGCAGCACCAGCGAGTTTGCCGAGAAGTACAACATCCAGAAGGGCGGCATCAGCCTGCAGCCCGGCTCGCCCTGCGACAACTTCCAGGGCTACTGCGATGTCTTTCTCAAGTGTCGCGCCGTCGATGCGGACGGGCCGCTGGTGCGGCTGAAGAATCTGCTGCTGAATCGCGAGACCCTCCTGACGGTGGCCGAATGGGTCACCGAGAACTGGTACTTGGTGGTGCTACTGGGCGTCGGCTTCATTGTGGTCATGGGCGCGTTCATCAAGTGCTGTGCCGTGCACACGCCCAGCTCCAATCCTAAGAAGCGACGTGCTCGTCGCATCAGCGAAACGCTCAGGGCCCCCATGAACACGCTGCGAAGAATGGTGAGTGCTCTGATGGGATTCCTCCTTTGTACCACTTTTTCATCGTGTATCGTCCAAACTTTAGCAGCGACATCCACATCAGCGTGGAGCCGGGCCACGCAGCATCCCACCGCCGGCCCACGAGGCCCAGCACTATCCAAGAGGTGGCGATGGACGCGGCGGAGGCGGCGGTGGTCGCCACGTAGGCTCTCGATCGCACCACCAGGCGCATCCGCATGACTGGGATCGGCATCAGGGCGGCCATTCGATTGTGCCGCTGCCCACAGGCGGCGGTCATGCCAGTCGCAGCTCTGCCGCGAATCAGACGCGACGCAGCGATGGACGCGGCACCCGCTCCACGAGCAGCGGCAGGCCCGTCGCAGCGTCAGCTTCAGCAGCAGCAGCGGCAGTAGGCGGAGCTGGAGGAAGCCGGGCACATGGCGGGTATGGAGCTGAGCAGGCGATACCGGGTTCCATTGGTGGTGGTGTGCAGGCGGCCATTAGCAGCGGCGGTGTGGTGGCGCGGGCCCAGCTGCCGCTGCCTTTGCCGCCGGCCAATGCACTGCAGCAGCAACAACAACAACAGCAAGCACTCTCACCGCAACAGCCACTGCCAGCGTTCTATGCGCCGAAAGGTGCGTGTCCCTCCCCACCCCACATAGAGAGTCCAGAGATCTTAGATTCCTTTAGAGAAGTAGCGTCCCCCCATACACTCTCCCCACTTCTATACGTATCTCTCTCTCCACCCCCCCGTTCTTCCACCAAATTTAATTTGTTGTTTTTCTTTTCGTTTGCGAAACGCTGAAATTCAGACTTACCACCACGCAATAAGTCCCGCTCATCACGTACCAACAACACCAACAACACCTCCACCACATCCACCGCGGCAGCCGGCACAGGGGCGGGTGCGGGTGCGGGGGCGGCCAGTAGTGGCAAGAGCAGCAGTAAGGGCAGCAAGAGTGCCAAAGCCAAAGACACAAAGCAACACAGCGGCAGTCGCAGCAGCAGCAAAGAGAAGGCCGCCAAGCCAGTGCGCCGCAATATCGTTTACTAGCGCGGAAAGAGCGGAGCGGAGCGGAGCGGAACACACGATCACACGGCCATAAACTGAAGACATACATTTAAACCCAGAAAGACAGATCCGATCCGATCCGATCAGCTCGGCTCGGCTCGGCTCAGATCCCGAACCCAACGAATGCTCGCCCGTGCGCTTTTTCAACATCCACCCAACCCCCACAGTCATCGATCCATCAGCCGTTGCCTCCCCACCACTTTAAACCATAAATGATACAAACATTTTGACAGAATCAATTGGTATGACATTTGTGTTGTTTTCTGCCCAAAATTTATTAAGTTTGCTCACTCCCAACACTCCCCACATGCCCATGGGCATGCCCGCCCAACTAATTGTTTTATTGTGCGTACTCCTGACCTCCGCCCAACCTCATGGCATGTTCCCGTTTCGTGGATTCCCTCCTGATTTTTGTAGTGTTGCGTTTGGTTTATTATATTGTTGTTGTTTTGTTATTGCATGTGCATTTGAATAAACTAATTTGTTTTATTTAAGCCTCTTACTAAACATATTCATAAGGATTTTATTTAATATTTTACACAACAAAATGTGGTGGGCAAGATAAAGGTTTTATATGCCCCAAGCAGTTCTAATTCAGCCCCAGATACTTTCGTAGAATAATTATAGATATTCCACATGATCCAATTAACATCTTACAAAGTCCAAGAAAGAGTTAGGGGTTCATTGGTCATTCCATCAAAAGAAAATAAAAGAGTAATCTATCAGGCAGTGCTAACACAGTCGCATGACATTTCTAACTGATATATTTATTTCAAATCTATATTTTGAATATTTTGAAAGAAGAAAACTTTATCGATTGGTAAACTTTGAAAGAAGAAAACTTTATCGATTGGTAAACGATAATAACTATTTGCGATCCGCCCATCTTCCGCTGTGACAATTTGTTACCAAAATTAACTACTTCAGTATAAAAGTATAAAATAATTGATTAAAATACTAGAGCAATAGGAATTGATTAACTGATTAAAATACTAGAGCAATAGAAACCACAAAGCTTTCATATTATTTTTGTTGTAACAATACAAATCTATAATTTCTCACTAATACCACTAATCATTAATGTTGTAGATAAGCAAAGCAATATATATATATTAAATATGAAAGATAAATAATTTATTATACTTTTTGTTCGTAGCCGTCGCGCCGCCGCTGCTACAAGTAAGCTTTAGTCGGCCGACATCGCTGCACGAACAGCAGCAGCAGCAACATCAGCAGCAGCAGCAGGTGCAGGAGCAGCAACTGGAGCCACATCAACAGCAGCAACAGGCGTTTGCCGATGCCTATGCGGCCTTGGGGCGGGGTCAGTTCGAGTCAACGACACGGGCACCCAACAACAGCAAAGTTTGACAGCCAAAGGCGGCAATGCAGCGGCACAAGAAGCCAAAGGCCAAGCGGCTAAAGCAGCAGCGACAGCAAATGCAACCAACACAGCCACAACAGCAACAACAGCAACAAAAGCAAATACAACAGAAATCAAATGAACTCAAATTAAATGTAAATGTAATTTTTATGCTAATTATTTTTATTTAAACGAAAGTTTGTTTGCGTGGGGTAAAAGCAACAGAAAGAACAACAACAACAAAAAAAAAAAACAAAAAACGAAAAGAGACAAATTTCATAGGACAACAGAGAAAAGCTAAAAATGAATGATATTTTTTATGAAATTAAATTAAATTAAAATGAAATGAAATGCGTAACGGCAACATGCGAAATATGATTAATATAAATAATTGAAAATGGCAACAGGCATAATATATACATACATACATATATACATATACAAAACTATGCCCATGTACATATTTACTGTGCGTACATGAATATGTATTTACAAAGCAGCAACCGCAACAAACAAAACGTATAGAAAATAATAAAAAAAAAATATATATTAAATTGTGCGAAAAGGAAAAAACATTATATTTAAATGTCGGACAAACCTCTAAAGACAAGTCATGAATACAAAATTAATTAAACATTGAAAAATCGCAAAAATGTGTGTTTGTACAAACCAAAAAAAAAAAAAAGTAAAAAATCAAATAAAATATACATGAAAAACTGTGTGAATTAATTAAGCGACATTCACAAGAAAAGCGGAAACAGCAAAGCATTTAAATTGTATTTAACTGTAACGAAGGCTAACAGTTTAATTAAAGCCGTCAAAATTGCATTTGTAAACTAGCAAAGAACCACGAAAATCTAAAACCGCAAACAAAATACCGACGTATGTATGTACATGTATTCCAAGGGTGAATTTTTATTTAATTTGTTGTTCTGCATGAAATGTGAATTCTTTTCATGTCGCTTTAAGTCGATCCCCTCTTTGTGCAGTGCAGAGCCAGCAGGCAAACAAAAAAAAAAACCACAACTAATTTTTATATTTCACATATTTTGATTATTTTAGGTACAATTTTCTATTGTCAGTTTTGATTAGTATTAGGTTAAAAGCTTTATGTTTTAGCAAGCTGGTAGCGAGCCCGCCACTGATTATGTTTAATGTTATCTGACATGTACATGTACATACATGTATATGATATGTATGTATCTCCCTAAATCTAAATGTATTTCGTGAGTCATGTACGCGTGCTCGTATGTGACTTTGTTTTAGTACTCTTATCTTAGGTTACTAGTTTATGTTTTTTGTTTTTGTCTGAGTTTCGATTTGCATGCTCAATGTTTAACAATGCAACTGCCCGGAGTCTCGTACGGATACGCTGTCCTATGTGACCGTACTACTACTCCAAGCCAACGGATCAAAGATATTTTAATAATATTAATGGAATGCTTGTGTTCATCTCAATCATCATTTAGCTAGCCCATGCAAGGCAGATCAAATTCCAACTGTTTGATCAGTTTTTACAGTATTTTTTGTGAATGATTCGGTTTTTTTTTTTTTAATTTATCACAAAACTAATCGTAATTTTACGTTGCAGACATTTTTAACACATATTTTGAACCTGTTCATATACTTGAGTCTCTGTGAACGAAACGCGTGCTCTGTGTTAGCCTCATCTTCGATTCCTTACACAAAAACACCAACTTCAAACTCTTGTAAATAAACTCTATGAAATATATATAAAAGTAAATAACAAATAAGTAAGCGAATAAATTTAAAATGAATTGCATATACATAAACCGCTAAGTAAGTTCACAAATTAATTAAATTAAATAAATTGATATATGGAATATGTATTCGATAAATTTACAAATTAAAAATTTAAAATGCAAACAAACAAATGAAACTCAAACCAAGCAAATGCTTCTGGTTTTTTTCTCAAACAAAATAACAGACAAAGAACAAAAACAAAAAACATTTAACTATTAATTTAATTAAAATAAATAATGAATTAATTAATTGACTTTAAGTAAACTAATTAATTATGATTATGAAAAAAAAGGCAAAGGAAACTTCTACAAAACAAAAGAATGAATGAATATGAGAAATGATAATAAAACACAAGAACAAAAACTACTATTTTATAAAATAAAAACAATGTGTATATAATTACGAATATGTATATGGACTTGATCACAAAATTCTGTGTGTGCAATTGTAATGTAAAAAAAGGTGCATATACTATTGCTAATTTGGGTCAAGGGCAGAATCTCCATAGACTCCACAGACTGCCAATTTCGGATGACTATCATCATATGCCTGTCATCGTTCTGTAGGGGTAATAAAAGCGACCCGGCCCGTTGTGCATATGAGTTTGTAGTTCATTAAGGATACGCATTTTAATTTATACTTTTTAAATCATTTTTATTTTTTGTTAGCAGTAAGACAATAAGTTACAAATACTTAAAAATTAGTATACAAAAAACGGTTTTGGTTAACTACAAACGAGACGAACAAAATTGAGTTGAGGCCTCTGCTGACCGAAGCTATCAGTGGCTCCCACCAACTTATGCGCGTATTCGAGAGGCCTTCTTGCTCTTGTCGGCCTTCGGTGGAGGTGGTCCGCTGCGTCCGGCCTGCATGTGGCGATTGTAGATGCTGTGAAGGAGATGAGATGTCAGATTATAATGGATAAACAGTGGCTATTTCGTGCGTTTCACTCACATTTTGTAGGTCTCCGTTTTGAGGTAATCAATCACGTGACTGATGCCCAACAGATATTGCTCGGCAATGGGATTCACCCAGGGATTCTCCTCCATTTTCATTACCGACTTGTTGCTCAGCAGATCCAGCTGAGCCACCTCGGGCGGAAGTACCTGCAGCCTGTTGTTTTGGATGTGCAGCTCCCGCAGACGAGCCAACTCGCCAATCTCCCGCGGCAGTTCCAAAAGGTCGTTGTCGCGCAGTCCAAGTATCTGCAGATTCTTTAGTTGGCCCAGCTCTTTGGGTATATACTCAAAGTCGTTGTCGCCCAGATACAGGGCGCGCAGCGTCTCCATGCCAAAGAAGTTGCCGGGCAGCACTTGCTCGCTCAGATTGTTGTACGACAGATCGAGAACCTCCAGCACGGGAAAGGCGCCAAACCCACGCGGTAGGTTCACCAGCCGATTAATGGACACATTCAGGATGCGCAGCTTTGGCATGGACGATAGCGAAACTGGCAGCTCGGCTAGCTGGTTGTTCGACAGGTTGAGAATTTCCAAATTGAGCAAATTCGCGATTCCCGGACTGATCACACTGATCTTATTGTGCGACAGCGTGAGTCGGGTGATATTAGACATGTTGACTGAAACAAGCAAACAAAATTAATTTCAAATAAATTATAATTGAACAAATAAGATTTTAAATTTGAACCTCACAGCTAATTTCCTACTTGGTTAACTGTATACTTTATACGGAACAGCTGTCTGCACGCAACAGGCACCCCCAACAGGCTATGTGCTAGAGCGAGATAACTATAGCTGCATGGAACATTTTTGTTGCTGCTAGAATTGTTTTAATTTAAACAAATAAATATGTATGAATAATGTTGTTTGCACATAATGATAATTATTTTCACATTTTGACTTTTATAACTATTTTGTCTCAAAATCTGTTTCTGCCTTTTCAGATTCTGTGCCTGCCACCTACATATGTATTTATGTATGAACATATGGAATGAGGTGCTGTATGTACGTCATCGCAGAAAATAAATGTGGGAAAACTAGTTAAAACAATATCTCCAGCTATTTATTTTCAATACGATAATCTCAATGCAGACATTCCAGTGACAGAAGGATGCAAATAGAGAAGTATTCCTGTTTTATTCTTGACAGCTGTAGGGCGAGGCCGAATTTTGCGTTGGAGTTTCTGGTGACTTGTGGCTGCCTGTATAAAACACTATTTACACAGTTACAAGTTGTACTTACACAGTCCGGGCAGCTCCTCGAAGGAAGTGAGACCCTTCTCCACCAGGTCCAGTTCCCGGTTTTGCGTTTCCCTGGCTTCATCCAATACTTTCTTTGCTTTCGACATCTTCGCGTTTACAGGCAGACACTGACTCATTTTGTTGTTGCTGCTGTTCTATGTGTTCAAAAAAGATGCCAGACTGTTGGAAAAAAATAGTTTTTTAATTTTATTTTATTATTTTTATAAACGCCTTTTTGCAGAATTAATTTATGAAGTCCTGCAATGAACATTTTATATAATATTCAGTGTGAGTCGTCATGGACAGTTAAAGTATAGTAATTCGAAGAATTATCACATACCCAATGGCTGCCCAACTGTATATGAGATGGTGCTCTCGCAACTGTGGTAACTGCAATTTTCGCCTGCATATGTTTCTCTGCGAACAGTTTTTCAGCAGTTTTCCATCACTTTGATATACAAAAATGAACTTGACCTAGTTTATGATGGGAAAATAAGTTTTACACTGAAATATATCGCTTTTCACCTGCATCTACTTTAATTTTGTTTGATTATATGATTTTACCCTATTAAAAATTGGGGCAGTGGCTTTATTCTAATGTGTTTCTAATAGCGTGCCGTTCTAAAAATCGAATCACAAAAATAGCCAAGATGCAGAATTAGTTGTACGTCGCGGCGTGCGATCTCTCGGTTAACTAAAGACTCGAAATCTCCCACAGCGTCAACGAGATCGATCGATGTGAATGTGGATATGCTGAGAATGTGGTGTGCCTGGTCGGCTCTCTGGCATGAGCTGGTTTTGCCTTTTCTGATTGTCTCAACTGTCGATTAAAACAAAAGCAGCAAACCGAAAGCCAATGCCGGCCCAAAACTTGATATTGTTGATGTTTGCTTTTGTTTATTTTATAAAATATATTCTGTACGTTATCCGAGGGAAGATCACTGCGAGGGAAACCAGTTTAAGATAGTGGATTGAACGATTTTTCTACCCAGTACTCGAAGGGTTTAGAGATATATTAGTTTTGTGGTGGATGTGAAGGTGTGTATCACCCAGAACGAAACTTTTCCGACCTCAGTATATGCATCAACAGCATTAATAGCCGAAATCTAGATCTCAGAAATCTCAAATATCTCTTTGTATTTCGTTGCTCTCTGTTTCGCTCTCATTTTTCCCATTTTCTGCCTCCACTTTCCACCGTTCAAATGGCAGAAAACCGTTAAATTCAAATCTGAGATACCAGGCGCACAGAAATCAGCAGAAGGTCGCTTGTTTTTTTAAGTTCTCTTTTTTCTTGTTTCTCTTTGTATTTCGTTGCTCTCTTTTTTCGCTCCCATTTTTCCCATTTTCTGCCTCCACTTTCCACCGCTCAAATGGCAGAAAACCGTTAAATTCAAATCTGAGATACCAGGCGCACAGAAATCAGCAGAAGGTCGCTTGTTTTTTTTAAATTCTCTTTTTTTCTTGTTTCTCTTTGTATTTTTTCGCTCCAGATTTTTCCCATTGCCTCCACTTTCCACCGCTCAAATGCCAGAAAAACCGTTAGAATTCAAATCTGAGATACCAGGGGAGAAATCAGCAGAAGGTCGCTGCTTTTTTTAAATTCTTTTTTTCTTGTTTCTCTTTGTATTTCGGCGCCCGCCCATTTCCCATTTTCTGCCTCCACTTTCCACCGCTCAAATGGCCGAAACCGTAAAAATAGCGCCCTCCCCCCCCCCCACTTCCACCGCTCAAATGGGAAAATCGTTAAATTCAAATCTGAGATACCAGGCGCACAGAAATAGCAGAAGGCCCCCCCCCCCCCCCCCCACCCCAAATGGCAGAAAACCGTTAAATTCAAATCTGAGATACCAGGCGCACAGAAATCAGCAAAAGTCCATGTTTTTTCCCTTGTTTCTTTGTATTTCGTTGTTCATTTTTCCCATTTTCTACACTAAATGGGAAACCGTTAAATTATGATGGCGCACAGAAATGAGTCGCTCTTTTTTTAAATTGTTGTTTTTTCTTGTTTCTATATAATTTAAAATCATATTTTTTCCTCTCATCCACCCCCACTCCACCGAATGAGAAAACCGTTAAATTCAATCTAGATAAATCAGCAGAAGGTCGTACGCAAAAATCCTTTAAAATCAGACTTCAAGGACGAGGACAAGGACTGTTTTTTCTCGCTATTTTTAATATATTTGGAATAAAACCATCAAAACTACGATATTTCTCTTCCGATCTGAGCGTGCTATGCCTCCTCGTAATCGCGAGAATGTCCCTGCATTTTAACTTCAAGATACTGCCTTTTAAATCTATTTTGTCTCCGATTTTCATCAAGACTCAGAAAGTACTTTTTCTAAAATAAATCTAGCCCCAAAAGATACTACATACTATTAACGATATATTTCTGACAAGTCAAAAATAGTTCCAACCCCTAAAGATATAAGTATACATATTAATATATTTTTGTTTTTTTGTATTCAGTTCTTTATTAATGCTATTAATGTCCCATGCCTTGGGATCCGCTACCATGTGTTGCACGAGGTGTTCGACGCTTGTGCTGGCACTTAGCTCCTCCTCTAGCAGGCGCCTCTTTTGCTCGAAGCAGTGGCACTCGAAGAAGACGTGGTGGGCGTCCTCCTCGATGCCACGGCCACAAGCCGGGCACCAATCCTCAGATTCGTGGCCAAACCGCATTAGGTACGACCTGAAGCAGCCGTGACCGCTCAGCAGCTGTGTGAGGTGGACGTCCACCTGGTCCAGCATACAAGATCTGGGAAGAAACAACGCTAGCGATTAGTTTCCTCCTTGCCTGTTTTGGTCCCCTGGTGCTTAGCAGAATTCTCGATAGTGCTCGACAGTCTGGTGTCCAGCATTACCCCTAGGTATTTTAGCGCCCTTTGGGATGCGACGTCGTGTCCACCGACCGACACTTTGGCTGTCTCCACTTTCTTCCTACTACTGATCAGCACGGCCTCAGTCTTGTGGGCAGCTAGCTGGAGTCCCGCTACAGCCAACCACGACTCCACGGCTTGTATTGCCTCGTTAGCAGCTGCTTCCGCCGCTTCCAGGTGCTTTGCCACCACTACGATGACCACGTCATCGGCGAAACCTATTATCGTCGTGTTCTCTGGCAGGTGTAGTCGGAGGACACCGTCGTACATCGTGTTCCATAGGAGCGGCCCAAGTACCGACCTCGTACGTTCTCGACCCCTCGCTCGTCTCGTACGTCAGCACCCTGTCGCTGAGGTAGCTGTACACCGTTCTCAGTAGGTATTCTGGGATCCGGAGTGTGCGTAGAGCCTCCATGGTTCTTGCCCAGTCTGTCGTGTTGAAGGCGTTTTTTATGTCAAGGGTAACCAGTAGGCAGTACTGTTTGTTACCCCCTCTCCAACGTGTTCCGCTGATGGCCTTCTCCGCTATGGTTGTAACCTTTCCTATGGCATCCAGCGTCGATCTTCCTTTACGGAATCCATACTGGTTGGTCGATAGGCCGCCGGCGTCCTCTATGGCATCGCTTAGCCTGCGCGCAATAAGTTTAACGCCTTCCCCGAGTTGTCCAGAAGACAAATTACATATTAATATATATACATATACATATGTATTGCAAGAGTAATCGCCTTTTTATTATCAAGAACAAAATGTATTGTAGCGGTGCTTTTATTTTTTTCGCAACTGTCGAGTATGAACATTCCTATTGAATTCATTTGATTGTAAGCTTTTGCGTTGAGCGGTTGTACATCTTAAACAATTCACAGAATGTCCACAAAGTCCGCGTCGCTCCTCTTGTTTATGTTAATTGTTTTGCATCTGCAGACATCTTTTGCAAGCGATTCGGTGAGTGGAAATTCAAGATGAATTCTGGCATAGTCAACTGGAGCTTCTTTCTAACAGATCGCCACATTGTCGATTCAGAGCTCTGAAAGTCAGTGCGGTGGATATTGCTTTTTTGTCCTGAAGCCTCTTCTGGACCACGTTGCAGCCAATCAGGAGCGGTGGAATGCCTGCGACGCCAAACTGGACAGGACGGAGAGCCAGCTGGTAGTCCTACAGGAAAAATTGTCCAAAATAGAAGCGGAAAAGGCTGCTGAGGGAAAACTGGTGGAGAAGCCGAAAGTAAAGCAACTAGATTCCTTCGTGCAGATCGGCTCCAGGTTCTTCTACATCGAGCAGAATCACAGAGTCAGCTGGTTTTCCGCTACGTGTATATGCCGTCAGATGGGTGGCTATCTGGCGAGTCCGAGAAGCGAGGAAGAGTGGAATGGCATTAAGGAAAAGCTCACACAAAACCGAGTTTATTGGCTTGGAATTTCTGACTTGGCCAATGAGGGCTCGTATCTGTCGCAGGCCACAGGAAATTTGGCACCTTTTCTAAAGTGGAAATCTGGTGAGCCCAATGATCAATTAAATAATGAGAATTGTGTGGAAGTTCGACCCGAAATGAATGACAACTATTGTACATTAAAGAATTATTTCATTTGCGAGGCAGGCGATGAATCATAATAAATATCAAACCTAAAAGTAAAACCAACAGCTTCCGACATCTGATAAGAGGATCCACTGTTTCTCGTGCTTTTGCTTATGAAATGAAACGCAAAGTAAGTGAAAATGAAATGAGCACAGCAAAAAAGCTTTAAGATTAGGCTCCGAATAGAATAGAATACTATACGTATGATGCAATGGCATGGGCATATCCCCGGTAACAGTGAATCAACAATTGGGTTTTTTCAGGAATATATTTAATTCAAACGTCAAAAGACCAACAAAATCCAAACTATGCATCTCTGATTTATTTGTAGTCATAGTATATCAAGATCACCTCTGGTATCAAGTGTTATTCCTGGTATTGGAAGTCATACCAAATCGCATTCTTATCACGCGGCAATATTTCGCAATGACAAATTTTTGTTATTTTGCACTGGTCCAATTTTCTTCATTGACAAAGGCGAATTAAAAGTCTTGTGTTTTTTGTTGCGACTTTTTTTCTTCGAGTACTTTCCGACATAAGCTGTACTAACACTTGCAGAAGAATGTCTAACCGGTACAATCTGGTTCATATAAATAATAGAGAGCTAAGTTGTAAACATAGAAATCTCATAATGGCCTAACTATTATGAATATTTTTTCTCTAAGTGCAATCACGCTTTGAGTTCTCTAATATAATGTCGTATCTGTATGTAGCCTGGAAAACTTTCAATCGCTGATAATTTCAAACAGTGAAAATCCGCTGCCTATAAAAGGCATGGCATGAGTTCAGCAATTACAATTCGAAATCATTTCTTTCTGATCTGTTGCCTTGTGCTATTGCACATTTTGAGTAACTTATAGAATGTTCAAGCTTGTGTCTCTGCTCCTGTGCATGTGGATTGCTGTGCATCTGCAAGGATCCTTGACAAGTGATTCGGTGAGTGGAAATTCTGGACGGCTGGACAGGGTGGAGAATCAGATGGCAGTGCTGCAGTCGCAGCAGTCGGGAGGCTTGGGGAACTTCTTGAATATCGGTTCAAAGTACTTCTACATTGAGGAGAATCAAAAAGTCAACTGGCATTCCGCATTGAATATATGCACTAACATGGGTGGCCATCTGGCGGATCCGGAAAACCAACAAGAACTGAATTCCATTTTGCAAAGACTCATCCGCGGCCGTCACTATTGGCTGGGCATCTCCGACCTGGCCAATGAGGGCTTGTTTCGGGCGCAGAATACTGGAAGGAGGGCGACTTTCCTCAAGTGGGTTTATGGTGAACCAAACAATTATGGAAACTATGAACATTGCGTAGAGCTTAAGTCACAACAAAACAGGCCATTCCTAATGAACGACGCCCCATGTTGGCTCAATTCGTATTTTATTTGCGAGACTGGCGCACCGAATAATGATGAATAAATATTGTAACACCAGTGTTCGTTGCATGCCACTAGCATCCGGAAATATATATGTAGTATTTAATTGTGAGAATTTTACTTATCAGTGATTCACCGAGAAAAGTGATTAAAAGTACAAATCACACATAGCAAATGAAATTATTCATTTTCGGCGTCAACTGGAACCTTCTGACCGTCTGTCAGACATTTAATTGATACGGTGATCAGAGTAAATGAACATACACATAAGCATACCCTCTCCTAGGGTATTTAATATGTATATAAAAAATAATTTTAATGACGTTGCAGCGTATATTTGTGAAATGCATTAATAAATTACTTTAAGCAAATCGCACATGAATCCGACTGAGTGCCAGTGGCATTAAATTTTTACTGTTTTTTGGATGCGCGTTGACTTCTTGGCAATGAACACCAAATTTTGTCCGCGCCCCTCATTGGCAGTCGTCTCGTTGTCGTCCTCCTCTTCATCCTCCTGATCGTCCTCGGCGTCGGCGTCAGGCGTCAACCTATCCCGGTTGGTGGCCGCCAGCAAAGCCGACTCCAGGTCATAGTAATCCTCGTTGACCAGACTGTAGCCCCGCTTGACCTCCTCGACCGCAATGCTGTACTCGTCGAGATAGTTGTCGCCGAAGCTGATCGTGCGACCCATACGCATATATGGTCCCGTGTCGTCGGTCATCGGTGGCCAGGCGGGCAGACCCGGGGCCACGGGTACTCCCGTCTTGGCGAAGGACGTCCACAGGGCCACCATGCGCCTGGCTACCTTGATGTCACGGTTGGAGTTGAGCATCTGGAAGCGTGGCCAGGGGAAAAGGTAGAGGTTGTCGTCGGTCAGCGACACGCCCATGTCGAAGGGCACAAATGAAGCCTCCTCATCGCTGGTGCCATACCGGTTCATCTCCCCCTCGTAGTCAAAGGTGTACAGATAGGTGTTGTTGGGCAGCTTCTTGGCATTGGCCTGAAGCACCAAGAGCACGGGATTCTTCAGCGAAATCGTGCTGCACAGCTACACTCGGTAATAATTAGTGTTGGCATTCGGGTGGGTTAATTTTCTACTCACATCGATCAGTCCTGGGGTGAGACGTTTGAAGCTGCCGTTCTTGATGTCCTCGGCACTGAAGATCTCCTCGTCGGCAAACTCACTCCAGGAGCCAGTGGGATCCGCCCCATTGGCCTGCTCAATAATGGTCTCGATGTACTGCCGTCCAGTCAGCTTCTCATCCAGAATTGTTTCGTTGAAGCTGTCCGCAAATATGTCTGCCACGAGAATGGGAATGGGAATTCAGTCGCAAGATTATACCAGTGTGGCAGTGTCCGTGTCTCCACTCACCTCTCAGTATGAAGGTACCGCCATGCTTGACGCTGCCACCCATTGTGGGATAGGCCTGGAACTTCTCGGCAGCCAGCAGACGTCCGGGATGCTCCGGCAGAATGCCGGATGGTCCGCCGATGACCAGCTGGACCCCACCATAGGCGCCGCCGCTCAGCGATGGCTTGTCCTCGCCATGGATGCTGAAGGCAGCCAACAGCATAGTGGCGTTGAGCCGCATTAGGCACTTGTTCAGCGACTCCACCTTGGCCAGCTGCTTGCAGCCGGCGATGCGAGCAATGTCCTTGGTGGCTGCCAGCGGGGTGTCTGTGATAAAGGCGGGCGACAGCGCCGTGCCCGACTGATAGATGACTCGGTGGAAAAGACCCGCCGGCACGGCCGGGCTCAGGGTAAGCACGTTGACAAGTGCAGCACCGCCCACCTGGCCGAAGAGAGTGACCCGCTGTGGATCGCCACCGAAGGAGCCAATGTGCTTCTGCACCCACTTGAGGGCCAGGATGATATCGCTGACGGCCGCGTTTCCAGGCATGTCGTCACTCATGGTAGACAGGAAGCCGAATGGCCCCAGGCGGTACCGCACCGAAACCAGCACCACATCCTGCTCCAGCAGATAGCCAGGAGCGGCCTCCACGGAATCGCCGTCGTAGAAGAAGTCGCCATGTATATACACCATAACTGGCGCGAGATCTCCCTCCATCTGGAAACGGCAGGGAGAGCCTAAATCCATCAGGAATTTTCACTTGCGAAGATTTTCACTTACCGCTTTGGTGCTGATGGTGAGGCGAAGACAGTCCTCGACATCGAAGCCATTCTCCTCCAATTTGGCGTACTTGAGCAGATCCTGTATGGACGGGCAACCGGGGTGGTGACGATGGGCGGGAAGAACGCCTCTCCAGGGCGATGCCGGTTCCGCTGCCTAAAGCCAATCAAAAGCAGAGAAGAGTCAATAAATTTCAGTTAAATCTCAAATCTGTTGGTTTTAATCTACATATTTAGTTTGTATTTTTAGCTCCCTCGACAACGGATGTACTACGAGTATTAGATTAATTTACTCTTTGCTTGGTCACAATTTGTATGCAACCATAAGTTGAAGGTTCTTTCGGACAGTTTTTGCCGCTTTGATCGCCACATCCTCGATAGTATAGTGGTCAGTATCCCCGCCTGTCACGCGGGAGACCGGGGTTCAATTCCCCGTCGGGGAGAGATGTGAAAACATTTTTATTTTCTTCTTCTTTTTTTTGAATTTGGCAAGTTATTAATATTTATACTATGTTATATTAAATTATGTCTGGGGTAAAAAAGTGAAAGTATTGAAAAAATATACTCCTAATTGAATGCAAAACTGTGGTAGACCATTTAGATTTATAAATAATGCCCTAAAAGTTAAACCAAAGTACGCACAAAAAAAATAAAAAAAAATTAGAGAATTTTTACATCCGTCCCCGACAGGAAATTTAATCCTGGTCTCCCGCGTAACGTATCAAGGACTGTGAAAGTTGCGCAAAAAAAAAATTGGTTTCCAACTCATGGACAGAGAAATTTCTTTTTAAAACATTTTTGGAATTTTAAAATAATTGGAGAAATCAGAATCAGAGGAAATATCCAGAACTCACCTTGAAGCGCTCTGCCTTTCCATATGGCACATCGACGAATTGCATTATTTTTTTGCCAGACCAGTCCGTGTTCAAGGTCCGACCGCGAAGTCTGCCCAGAACGGGCACCGATGCGGTGAACACATTCGAGTCTGGGATATTGGCCTGCTGCTGCTGCTGCTGCTGTGTCTGTGGCTGCTTCTGTTTGTTGGGTCTCTGCTTCTGCCCGGCTGCCTGTTGATTCTTGTTGGGGCGTCTGTTCTTCTGATTTCCCATCGCCTGTCCCAATCCGGTCATGGGTCTCTGCTGCCTTTGCTTTTGCTGCTTTTGGGATTTCTCAGCGTGGCTGCTGGCTGCCAGGGCCAGAAGCACGATCGCCAGGAGGATCAGCACACCACCACGTATCCTTGCCATGTCTAGACTTCACTTTGTGGTTCCGTTGGGGTTGGAGGGACAAGTAGAACTGCTGGCTGCCTCGACCACTGGCCACGACGAAGACTTTCTCGGCATTATCGAGTGACTCTTGACCGGGCACGAGTTCTAATTCAGATGAGGCGCAGCCACAGCAGCGCCATAAAATTGGGTCAAGTCGTAGCCGTTGACAGCACTCTGCCTCCTCTTTGCTCTTCGCAAACTCTCGACCCATCCAAGTCCACCTCTCAACTCTGCGAACACAGCCCATGAATATTCATCGAGGCACAGCCATAGCTGATTTGGTTCTTGGGGAGATTATGCTGCTGTTGAAAGTAAAACAGAGCCACAAACAAATACGATCAAAGACGATCCCCTCGGCGTTTTCTCCCAATCAGTTGGATCTGGCTGTGGATCTGGCGCCATTGGGTATAATCAAATCAGAGTCAGAGTCAGAGCCAAGGCAATGAGAAATGACAAATGCCATTATGCTAAGCCATTTCCAATCCTTTTGTTACTGTCGTAGTTAATCGTATGTGTGCATGTTACATTCGTTAACTCTTTATTAATAAATTAATATAGTATGTGTCGTGTAAAATTATATTAAAATGCATTCATCTAGATTCTAGAACTACAAACGCACTAACAATATGCATTCAAATGCAGAAACTTCAAAGAGCAGCGAACTGTTTCGCGGAGAACATTTTGAGACGTTGGTGGTGCATTAGCATCGGGCAGAATTGCAGAAGATCGGCTATAAATATATAGACTTATGTATATATATATATGTATGTTTGTTTGTTTGTTTGTGTGTGGGCGAGTGTGCAGAGTGAACACCTGGCCGTGTGCGAGTGTGTGGGCCGACTCTGACTCACATTCACTTAGATGTAGTAGAGGCGCACAACCGATTTTGTGATGAGTGTTTCGTTGTCATAGAAACTGGTTTGAATTGTCACATTGCCATTTAAGACCTTGGCTGGCATCATTTGGGACTCGGGGGCCGCCTCGATCGTCGACTGCCAGGTGTTGGTGGTGCTGGCGCCGACGAAGCCCATCTCGAAGAACCACTCCTCCATGATGCGGCCCTTGAACAGCACCTTCTGGTCAAGCCGAAAGTTCTCCATCGACTCGACGGTGCTGAAGTTGATCTCACGCGACACCGCCCGCATGTCCAGTATTTTGACGGGCACCCGCGCCTCGTGCTCCACGTCCGGGGCCGAGAAGTCCTTGTTCTCTTGCCATATTATCTTGCCGCTGTCCGCGTCACGCAATATCATGTAATTTATCTGGAATCCCTTATGGATCTTGTCGGCGGCACTCTGGTCGTCGGAACCCATCGCTGTCGCCGGTCACGTCACCGTCGCTGGCAGTCTCAGTCCTGTCCTGTGCACAACGAAGAGAGCGGCCACTTTTTGCAGCACACTTCAATATATTTTTGGGTAGAAAATCAATTATGTTTATTTTTAATATTCAAACAGCTGGCCGATATCTAAGTGGTTGATATGATATTTTTTCAGATTCATCGATTCACGCTTAACCCATTGTCGACCGGTGGGTACTTAAATTGAAGGCCTGTCTCCAGCACCGCAGAAAATTGCGGCAAGGAATGGAACATAGTGTGGAACATAGCTAAAACAGGGTTGATGAATCAGCTGTGTTTTGTAAACAGAGGCAACTGTAAAACTAAACTGTAATATTAAACGGAATATCAAAATCGAGGAATATCAACATTGAATGTTTTGAAAAAAACAATCGATACTATCATGATAGTCGCAAAACCATCGATAGTAGAGGCTAGCAGCAAAATATCGATACTATCGATGTGCCCTCTTTGGTTTAACAACAAAATTTGCAACAATTAAGCCAATGATTATCTATGGAGTCTATATAGTTAGCAAATCGGGTGGTCTTATATTCAACCTGGACAACCATGTGCCTCGCATTGAGCACGAGAAGACATTCACATATCCCCTGGATCTGGTGCTCGACTACGACTCCAAGAAGGTGTCGGTGGCCTTTAATCGGAAGGATGGAATAAACGGTAGGCGTTCCCTGGTATTAATGCAAATCACACTACACATTGACTTTCCAGTGGGCCATGTCCTGGTGGCCGTGAATGGGATTCCCGTTAATGGCATCACACTGGAGGACGGGCGCGACGTGAAAACGACTCTGGAGGCCGCGGAGAACTATCCCATAAGCCTGAAGTTCAGCCGTCCCAAGATGACAACCAACGAGAAGATCTTTCTGGCCAGCATGTTCTATCCGCTGTTCGCCATCGCCAGCCAACTGAGCCCCGAGCCAAAGAGCTCCGGCATTGAGCTGCTGGAGGCGGACACCTTCACGCTGCACTGCTTCCAAACACTCACCGGCATCAAGTTCATTGTGATCTCAGAGACGGGGCTCAACGGCATCGATCTGCTGCTGCGCAAGGTCTACGAGCTGTACTCGGACTACGTCCTCAAGAATCCCTTCTACTCGCTGGAGATGCCCATTCGGTGCGAGCTCTTCGATAATAAGCTGCAGGAGCTCCTCGCGCAGGTGGAGAAGACGGGCATTAGCAATATTGATAAATAAACGTTAGCTACATTTTATACTCTGTTATCGGATCTGTTTTCTGTTGTCTCTTGAAACGATATTCAATCAGACAGAAAAAAAATGGAGGAAGCTGCTGGCTGCACCAACTTTACACGATAGTCGTTTGGGTGAATGCCTCTCGGTGTCTAATCCTTGATCGATCGCTTGCAATCATATTGCACCAACAACAATAAGGTTAATGCTCTTTTCCAATGCCAATTGCTTGGCAGGACTCATCCGATCACGAACATTTTCTGATGCGCCAAAGGGGCTGCCGGACGACGCCAGTCTATACACATCTATAGATGTGTATATAAGGAATTACTAACATAAATATAGTATGTACATACGTAAGAAGGTATATAAATCAATAATAAACTGTTATATAGAATAGGTACCTTTAAATAAATAAATAAACAAAATTAAAAACAAATTTGTAAGTACAATAACTGGGCGGGGGAACATATTGCCGATCATTAGGAGTCGTGGCACGAATATATCCCCGATCGTTGCAACCCATATTGAGATTAATGACATTAACGATACATCGTGCCTTTTTATAGATTTTGCTCAAACTGACTTTTAATTCAACCGCTATAACTCCGCCATTTCACATTCAATATGGACATGATCGGGAGTGCATTCCGTATACTTTGAACCAAAATTGGCATCAAGGGCTATAAGAATATGCCTTTTTAACACTATATGTTGTAATAGATGTAGCATGGAATAACTCCGCTATTTATAGTCCGAACTGGGCGACATGGTATCCTGTCTTTGGGAGATTGCATCAAGATTACAACGAGCATAATGCACTTTTATCGTTATTTTTATGTAAAAGATATTGATTTGACACGTTTTGCTGTAATTTATACTCGTAGTGCCATCGATTGGCATTTTGATGTACCTAGTTTAAATTAATTTTGATTTTGTTTTTTTATTCATTCAGCCATCTTACAGCTAATTTTGTGTATTTTATACATACTCATATAAAAATAGTTCTTCGCTTAGCTTTAAAGATACTCGTATTTTACACTTTCAGCGCATATCCTAGACAACACCCTAACCTAAAACAATATATTGCATGGCCTGTACTGTACGAACTGTACGCTTTGTGATCGATGCACACGATGCCGCCACAAGGATAAGAAGGTAACGTAACCAAATAACCAACAAACTCAGTACATGCTAGATGGTATATATGTACATATACACACATACATATGCATGTAAATATGTACATGTGTACATATATTAAATGGTGTAATGTGTATGTTGTATATGTATGTATGTGTATATCATAGTAATAAAGTTCTTGAGCAGAATATTGACTCCAAAAATAGATTGCAACTGCGTTAAACATTTAAAAATTAAGCAACAATTTCCAAAATACCTACTTAAGCGCTAATCAAAAAAGTATCAAAAAGGTTTCAAGGCATAACAACAATTAAGTAAGTTTCTTCATTTCATTTCTGTATAGCACTTGGTGGGGCATTGGTTCGGGTGTACAGCAAGAGGGGGGCCTGTATATTTGGGGGATGGGTGTGGGGGTTGGGGATTTTGGGTGTGGTTTGATTCCTATTGCATACTGCCTATTGCACCAGTACTGCGATACGATGCAGTTTTATGCACCGTTTCCGCTCAGTAGCCCGTTTCCGGTTCCTGCTTCAGCGTCATGCGACAGGGCTCTGAAACGAACCATGAAAAAACCATCTTCGATTCATGATTCAGATCCAATTTGCTAGTGGACTCACCCATGCCATAGCCAGACGGTGCCGTCAGCAGCTCGGGAGGGCGAATCTTGAGCGGCGTGCGCCGCAGCAGCTCCTCGGCGCTGCTGCCCTCGCTCCGATTGTACTCGTTGAGCGTAATGTCCGCAGGATTGCGCAGGCCCAGCCCGTCGACCGGCGACGTGACCGTTCTTTGGTACGGATGCATGCGCTGGGGACTATGGTTCGGCTGCAGGGATCCCGTCGATCGGCTGCCGTTGTAGTGCTTGACTGCTGCATCCATGTAGGGGCTGTCCTGCTGTTGCTGCTGTTGCTGCTGCTGATGAGACGCATTCTGGAGCTGATGCTGCTGCTGCTGTTGTTGGTGTGACTTGGGGCTGTTCAATGGGGGCGAGATGGCAGCCGGAGCGACAGCCGTGGGCGTGGAGGAGGATGAAGCTGCGGATGCAGCGGCTGCTGCCGTGCTGGCGGTATAGGCCCGGAACGAATCATCATTGTTGGCCTCGATGAGGGCCTGTATGTGCTGCACGTCCAGGTCGAGGGCCTGCGAGGCGGCAATGGTCGCCGAGGCCAGCGTGTCCAGCGTGGAGCTCACTTGGCTGCCATCCAAATTGGTGCCGTGGGTGGGACTCTGATAGTCGTTGGACTGATTGGGTGGCGACAGCGGAAGCGGATTGTCCGCCAGCTCTCCTGTGGAAACGAGAAAATAATCCAAATGAGATTCTGTTTTCGGCTTGAGCTGATTTCTTCAGATAGAACGTACCACCCAGGAGCATCTCCTGCAGCAGGGAATCGATGTGGGCCACGCCAAAGATCTTGGCGAACTGTATTTGCTCGATCATCTGCCAGGTGATGGACTGCAGGACCGGCAAGATGAGCAAGATCTCCCCGAAACGGCCGCGCGACTCGTACTGCCGATCGGATATGTAGTCCTCGAGATTGTTGAGTATCTGGTGGCGCAGCGACTTGATGCGGTGCGGTTCGTTCAGGCCCTTGGCATCTGTGAAAGAAGAGTAGTGGAAATGAAATGGTTACCCATCACGGAGCCAACAAGCGATTCGCTTCTTTATAACTCACTTGGATCGAAGAAGACCAGCGCCTTGATGCAGGCGAACTCCGTGTCGTCGATGCCAATGTCCCGCATTACCGTCACCAGTTCGTCGATGATGCGGGCGCCAATCCGCGATATGTCCAAATTGGGCGACACTCCAGGATCTGTAAAGCACACACAGAGAGAGAGAGAGAGACAGATGTAAGAAATGGTTGGAGTGCAAGCTGGAGTGTGGTTTATCCGTACCTGGACAGTGCCTGGTGATGACACAGTTGTTGCTCAGCAACAGGACGTCCTTCAGGTGCATCGATCGCCGTGAGAGACCCAGGAGCAGGTGCTCGCCGGCATGGGCGCGCAGCAGAGCCACCTGGTCGTCCAGCTGCAGCTCATTGAAGGCCGGTATCTGCTTGGCCCACTCCACGAGGGTGAGCAGCTGTTGCTTCATCGACTCGCAGACATCGTTGATGCTGGCAAACTGCTTGGTCGAGAGATCCTCATTGATGTTCGGCTCCATGGCGGCGCCCGCCTTCGACTGCCGCGACTCGTTCTCCGCCTTCACCAGCGAAATCACAGAGAGCCCATTGCCCGGATCCGGATCATCGTTGGAGGTGCGACGGCAGCTGATCCTGTCCCGCTCGTTCTGCACCGCCTCCTTCTTCATGCCCGCCTTGAAGCACTTCCTCAGGCGGCAGTACCGACACTGGTTCCTCTTGTCCTTGTCCACCACGCAGTTCCGCGAGAACCTGCACGTGTACTGGTGGTTCTTGCGCACGCTCCGCCTGAAGAAACCCTTGCACCCGTCGCAGCTAGAGGCCCCGTAGTGCTTGCCCGTCGCCCGATCACCGCAGATCGCACAGACCGTCGGGGATTGCGTTTGCTGCTGCTGATGCTGGAGCTGTTGCTGCTGACTGGTGGCGCCACCGGCTCCAGCTCCCCCGCTGCTGCTGCCGCCACCGCCGCTGTGGTTGTTGTTGGGCGAGTACACGTTGTTGTTATTGTTGTTGCTGGGGGTACCGCTTCCGGCGCCATTCCCGTTTCCGCTTCCGTTGCACAGCGCAAAGTTCTCGCTGCTCTGGTTGCTGCTGTTGCTCAGGCCCAGCCCCACGCCATTGGGACTGAGGGCGTGGCCAATGGGGCTGTGGGGCTGCGATGCCGGCGGATAGCCAGAGGTCAGAGCATCGGCGTGCATTATATGGCTTTCCGATTCTGCGGAAAGATCAAGGCAGTCGAAAGTTAATACAAAGTCGAGCAGTTTGAAAGAAATTTATCTCAAGTTCTGAGACAGTTTGACATCCATGATTTTCAAAGAATTCTACGACAGTTGGAGAGCCACTTGGACCCACTTCTAGCGCTTGAAACCCCGCTTGCACAGCTTTCAGGGCTACTGAGCTTTCCCATAAATTTACATACTGCGTTTTAAAACATTTTACAGTTTTAGAGAAACTGACTATTAGTTTGAGCTTCGAAGGGTAGGTTTAATACTTAGGATATCCATTCACAATGTACATTTACATTAGTGCTTTCCAAACCTACTATTACGCTGCGAATGAAGTGCAGCTTAAGAGCCACTGTCTACATAGAAGGTAAAAGATTTAACTCTAGTTAGTTGCACAGTTTCAGAGCCATACAGCTATTTGAATATTGAGATTGAGATACATTAAACCCTTCCACTCTACGCAAATTCCTGTCCACAGTTTTCCAGTCGTTGCAATTTCAGTTACAGCAGCACTATGAATATCTTTACATGCAAAAAAGCAATTATACATTTACACACACACACAATTGTACAGTTGTATGTGAGGAGTGTGTGGCAAACGTTTAAGAACAAAAAATAGTTAAAAATTGCAAAAAATAAATCGCGCAATAGCAACAAACAAAAACAATAAAAATTACAACAACAAACACACCGTCACTTGAGGCCGTAATGCTGGCGCTGCTGTCGCGTCTGCGTCGACGTCTTCTGGTCAACGACGGCACTGCCACCGCCACCACCGCCGCCGCCCGCGACTTGCCACGCAACAGAATGCTGCCACCGTTCGAGGCAGCGCGATCGCGACTAGAAATTTTAACTCTACCGGACTTGCGCACCATTTTAGTGCAACTGATTAGTGGAAAACACGACGACAAAAAGCGCTGCGCTCCCCAACGCAAAGCCCCAACGCCGCACACGCCATCGTCGTCGTCACACCATCGTATGTTGTCTCTGCTCCTCAGAGAGGAGAGGCTCAAACAGCGAGAGAGAGAGAGAGAGTCTGCTTGTGTGTGCGTTAATCGACGCTTAAATCAATTCAACTGTGTTTGCATATCGTTTCAGTGTGCAGGTCCTCTCTTTCTTTTGATACCCTTGCAGAGGGTACATTACAGGTGCCTACTGCACAAGAAGATATTCCGATATACCCACATCTGTATATTCTGAGTCAATCAGGTTGGAAACGCCCAGATCAGAGCACTATAACTCCTGAAATTTGTTCATAATCCAGCAGTTAAAATTTACATAGTTATGTGCATGGCTACAATGAAATGATCTGCAAGGGTATCAAACCAATCGGCCACCGTAGATAGCCTTTCTTTCTTTCTTTCCTGTTTTCTCTCTTACACGGAACATTGGGTGGAGAGGGAGAACCAGACTTGGAGCGAGCGGCACAGACAACGCAGAAAGACAAAGATAGAAATTCAACAGCAAACGACGCAGAGGCAGAGACGGTGGCAGAGGCAGCAAATAAACAAATAAATAAATATAAAGAAAAAAAAGCCGGCTTTAATTTGGACATCGTTATGGGTGTGAATGTGTGAGTGCGTGTGTGGAAAACACAACAGAATAAAAATGTATCTAAAACTACGACAACACCGAAGTAAATATACTCTTTCCAATCGATCATTGGCATTACAACTATATGATAACGTGATTCGATTTTGATCATATATCAAAGGAGAGCAGTCTTTCAGCTGAGATACGAGTTTTTTTACAGAAACAGATAAACAGACTGATTGCTATTTTATAGCTGGGGCAAACTTCTGGCCAGAATCATAGTACCTCTGCGTAGAGCTTCAAAATAGACAGCGAGTGAGAGCGCCAGAGAGCGACACGAAAAACGAGAAATACACGACACGAGCAAACCGAATAACAACAAGTAGAAGAAGAAGAAGAAGAAGACAAAAAAGAGGAGAGGCGGTAAATATGTAGTTGCTTTAATAAAAAACAATCAAAATTCTGTATTATTTTAATGCACGCAACAAGTTTGTGCACAGTGGGCCATATACGCCAGATTTTACTCAGAATATTTTCGCTTTTCTAAATTGATGGGTAAACATTTACTTTTTCAATACACTTTTCGCAAATTAGCACTGCGGTTAGAAGATTCCCAGACGGTTAATTGGTTCAACCACCAATCGGTGGTTTCAATTGTCACCTGCACACCCACCACACCCAGCCCTCTCTTCTCACCTGGAAACTCGTCAGAATCAGTCACGTTCAGTATCAATGCGTGGAATAGTGGCGATCACTCGACGCCCACAACCGAAATAAGAGCAGACACGTTAGGGTAAGAGAAGTTTAAGTGAAAACCAAAAACCAACAAGCCCCCAGACGAGCCATTCTTATCGCCTGGTTGGTCTTTTTATCACAAAAATACTAGTTCTGAACACCGCAAAAAGACACAAACAAAAATATGCCTCGCCTCCTATCTTTTTGCACATAAAACTTTCTCGCTATTTCTCACACTCTTTAGCTGCCTCTCTCTCTCTCTCTCTCAATCTCTCTAGTCTCTCTTTCTCTCTCTGCTGTAAGTTTATTTTTCTGCCATGTCATCGTTAGAGCTCAGTTTTTTTCGTAGAGTTGCTGCGTCATCGTTAGTATTGCAAAAATGTTGTTGCTGCTGCTGCTGCTGGCGATGTTTATACTCGAGTGGGGTAATCATAATCTGAGATTAGAAAATATCGGATTTTGAATGTTTTCGAAGGATTCGTTCACTCGCCCTGCCTGTTGCCACAAATAGTGCGGTTTATGGTCGTTCATAAAACGAAAGAACCAAAATATATGTATCTGTGTTGTTCGAATTTCCAAGTACTAGTGTCTCAGCGCTGATAAGAGGCAACAACATTTATGGATGTATGCATCATCGTTAAACACCTGGGTGCCCAAATGAATCAAAAAAAAAAAAAAGAGAACCTGATCTACATATTCATACCCGTGGTATATATTTATATAGAAACAAACGTATTCCTCATAGTATATATATCTACTTATTTGAGCGTGTTGGCTATTCAACTCAATTTGCTTAATTAATTTGCCCCACACAAAATTTGCGGCCAGCGGGCGACGAGCCCCCAAAGCGCCCCAAATAAAGTATAAATAAATAAATCGAGAGAGCGGATCTTCACGCTTCGACGTTAAATTTCATTATTACGGATATGTATGTATGTACATATATTTATCTGCAGAAATACAAGCCTCTGTAAACCCTCATGTTTCTCTTTAATGTTTGGTATACATCTCAAGCGAGTGTTTAAAAGAAAATAAAATTATAATACATTGGCTGGAGAGTAGAATAGACATGTATATCAAATGTATGTATATATGTATGTATATTATAGATACTCGCAAATACTGACATACACACCGAAATATGTATCCAAATATTATTTTTTAGACGCCCATTTGGTCGAACTACGCTAAATTTGTGTTTATTTATAGCCCGAATTGTTTTTGTTTGCTCAAAATAAGTTCTTTTTTTCTTTGGCAACATATACTACATACACACATACATATGTCTGATGGAAATAAAATTCTAGCAATAATGGATACAAAAACCAAAGAAAAACCGGTCACAATTTTAGAAATCCAATTGCTGTGCAAAACTATAGCGAAATTTGTCTATCGGTTGTCAATGATTCTTTCTTCTATTGTGGAAATACCACCACAGTTGTTTAGATATGGGCAGTCCTATCTGGCGTTAAACAAAATGTTGAAAAAATAGCAAAAAGCTTCAAAAAAAAGTTCCGGTCATAATTTTGCGTCCCTTCCCCCCCAATCAAATCCACTCTCGTTAAGTATAATTATATGTCAATAAATAAATTAGTTACCTTAATAATTAGAAAAAATACCGAAAAATTATAGGAAATCGGTTTTTACCCATATGTAGGAACACGTGTGGTGTATTTGTCAACAAATTAGTCACCCGAAAACTGACCAATATTAATTGATAAGAGAACATGGTGAGTTTCCATTATGATGCGATATGAATTATATAAAGAGCAAAGGAGCCTTGAGTGCGCCTGCTACAAGAAGAAACGGAATAGCACACTGCTTATAAGTAATTCAGTGGAATATTTATCGCTATTTTGGAAACGATTCTTATTCATATTTTCCGTTTGATAACAACACTTGATTAATTAACCAAATCTCTTTGGAAATTTTCACTGTACAGATGTGTTGTGTATTTATAGATGATCGTACAGACCCAGGCGGATCTGTTGAGCTTGATCCGAAATATATATTCTATGTATGAGGTCGTAATAAATATAGTAGCAGTACTCTTAATCGTTTGCTGATCTATTAGGTTTGGGGTCGAGCTATTAAATGATTCAATGGCTGAACTAAGTAAATGATTGATTAAGGAAGTCGCACACAGAATCTGGAAAATCTTGAAAATTATAATGCATATTGAATTCCAATGATCGAAGACAGACTGGGAGAGAGCAGCAGTTTAACAAAAGCCTTAATTATTGTTTTGTTTCAGCAGAAATGGTGGAAAGACTAGCATTAGCCACGTACTGCTACATTTGTGTGTAATTTTGAATGCGCCGCTTATCCCCCTGCCCAACTGCCCTCCCACTCCCACTCGCACACCACCACAATCGAATTTTATAAGCTCTTATCGGCGGCAGAGCCTCAATAACGTGCCTAACGGCAAATCGAAGCTCCTGCCTCGCTCCCCAAAGCTGATAGCAGCGGCAAAAAGCTCAATTTGAAATCGAAGCAAAAACAACCCAACATTCGAAATCGAAACCGACATGCGACAATCGCAATTAGCGAAACAGAAGAAAGGAAAGAGAAGAAACCCAAGGAGGAGGGCTAGCAGATGGAGGAAAGTGAGTCAGGCCGAGCGATATGAGGCATTGGTATTATTCATATGGTAGTACCCTCACAAAGGGGTATTAATGTCAACCGAAACATAGAAACTTTCAATCCAAATCGAATGACTATA